AAGGGAGCAGGGTTTTCTTTCTTCCCACAGAGCTCGGTGGTGTTGATTCCACACAGTTTTTGTTCAGACAGGAAGGGATAAAAATGAACTTCGAACAGAAAGAGGTAGAGACTCTTTTCCCATTGTATTCTGCTCAAGGTATTTCCCCCCAAATAAGTTGAGAACCATGGAGTACAGAAAAGAGACCTCAAGAACTGGGCGACTGAGCACAAGAGGAAAAAAAAAAAAAAAAGAAAAGACGGCAACTTGCTCCCAGGGACTGGAGAAAATTTAAAAAAAGGAAGGTTGGAATCCATCAGTGTTCTATTAGTCATCTTCTCCTTCATCTTCCTCTCCTTCCTCCCCTTCATCATCATCTTCATCACCTTCATCCTCATCCCCTTCCTCATCAATATCTTCTAATCCTTCCTCCTCTTCATCATCATCATCTTCTTCTTCTCCTTCTTCATCATCCATATCAGGAACCAAGTAGTACTGTAATGAGTTTGGCCAAATATCATCTTTGATGACCTCTCCTAACTCATCAGCACCTGCATCAGAATGGTCAGTAAACCAAGTAAAGAAGCTCTCTGGTTCCTCATGCTGCCTCTTCCTGCTGACTTTATTCTGCATTTGACTTGAACATTTCATCAAATCCTTTCCAGATTTCCATTTGATTTCGGTGGACTTTGAAGATGGACCACCACTCTCATTCAGATGTAATTCTTTGGAGAGAACTTTATTTTCAAAGTAAGGATTTTCATCAAAATAAAAATCTGTTCTGTAACCTGATTTAATATCTTCAAATTCTGTCACTTCAACTCTGGTCAAATAATGCAGTGCCTCTTCGTCTTCCTCCCCAAGCAGTGCAGACATTTGTGGATGGTTGACAAATGTTACCCAAAAATTTAGGATTTTGGTGATCAACTCTGACCTCTTTTGAAAAAATGGTTGGCGGAGTTTGTTATATTTCTGTTCTACTTTCAAAATCTCCTCACTGGCTTGTTCATTAAGTCTATCTCATTTTGTACTTCATCAATGTGTTCAATTGCTCTTGCTGTTCTATTTCTCCCTTCTTTGGCAAGCCTGCAGAGGCCGATGTCTCCTCTGGTCCCAAAGCACGTGGTGGTCTTGGTTTCTTCTTTTGAGGCAGGAGTGGAGACTGGCGTTTAGGAGCCATGCTGTTAGGCAAGTCCAAGAACCAGACCACGAGTCTCCTCGCCCGTCTGGAAGCAGGCTGAACACTGAGTCTTTAGGAAATCTTAGCAATCAAAAACACATTGGCATAAATCAAATTAAAAATGATCCTCTGAACAATATTGAACACAAGGACAACTTTTTGATGTGTTAATAATAATGTCTAATGTGACTAATGATCATCAGCTAAATCTCACTAGGTTATTTTAAAGCAGAAGTAACAAACCCTGGCATAAATCTAAATTTGCCAACCTTTGATAGGTATCAACTAGCTGACTAAAGAACAAGTAGGACAAATAATGTGTATCTATAAATATTCACATTACTTTATCCTTATGACATGATCCTTACAATTTTTCATAGCAAAGTTCCTCAGGGCCATCTCTACAGGCCGCCTTTCTTTCCCATCAAATCTCACAGGCATGGGCATTTTTGCTGTATTAAGTATAGCAAACCAGAGAAAAAACAAATATCTATTAAAGTATAATAAGCTAGAGGGGATACATTTTAAAAGGTCATGAAAGGTTACAAATGAGAACTGAACACTCCTAAAACGCCAGCTTTTTGAAAACATAATTTATATCTGATTCATCATTCCTGCTCTCATAGCTCCTGTCTTACAAATAGTATGCACTCAAAAACTATTTGTTGAACTAATAAATAGACCAAATAATAAAATTTAATACCTTCACAGCAATGAATTATCAGTAAATAGAAAAGGCCAGAAGAAAATTTGAAAATTAATTCCTCAATGACCTTGTTAAAACGTCTATACTATGAAAGCTTTTCAAAGTCAGAAACCTGCTCTACCACTGGCCATATTTCTCCTGATATGTAACCACAGAACCAAGAAATTCATTCTAATCAAATGAACAGCTTTAATAAAGTCAGGCTTTATTTAACTGGCTAAAGCCAAACACCTTACCTGCAGATAATGTGCTTTTAGACTATTTACAAAAAACTGATTTCATAAAACATGATATAAACTAGTGATTGGGAAACAGGAAATGACCATTAATTAACAGGTTCAAATTAAGCATATAGGTATAATCATAGCTATTATTCAATGCTTAAAAATACTCTTTGATGACAGTACTGGTTAAGCTTATTCACAAACTATTTTGAACAGTTCACCTCATGGAGATCTTTCTCAATTTTTCATGGTGTACTGTGCCATGTGCAGTATATGCTAGATAATGAAAGTATCAATCTCCTAAAAGCCTTTCCTGACATTCAAGGGAAACAACAGTTGCAGCAGCAGCAGCAGCAACAGCATGGGTTAGGCCCTTGTGCTAAGAACTTTACAAATGTTATTTCATTCAATCCTTACTACAACCCTGTAGGGTATTATTATCCTTATTACATGGGTGAGGAAACAGACAAGAGAGGATAAGTGACCAAGTAGCTGGGTTGGTATTCACCCCAGGCAGTCTGACTTCAGGGTTCATACTCCAAAGTCTCTCTCTATATATTATGGATCCTTAAAATGATCAATATGGTCAGAAACCCATTTGAACTAGAAATAGGCTAAATAGTTATTAAGTATTATGACCAAGCAACTAAATGCCTCTCCCCATTCACAACTCCTACATAATTAATACCTTGAAACATCATAGTTGCTCATGCTATTTGAAAAACTTCTGAAGGCACTTTTCCTATATTTAGTCACTATAACTCAAAACTTCATACTTACGGGTTATTCTGCTAGTTCTACAAGTTCCAATGCCTTAAATCTCGATTCAGGGGAAATAATATTATAGCCACTCTCATTCCAAACAGCCAAATCTTTGTTTTTGTTTACTGCTAAGATGATCTGCACAAACCCTTTACAACATATAAAAAGGCGGAGTAACAATCCAAGTCGAATGCACATAGAGATACATTCTGATTGGTCATCTAATCAGAGCTCTAAAAGATGTTCATTTTCTTCACAAAAAAAAGAAAAAAAACTTTAAACAAACATATAAAGGATCCCATTCTAGGAAAAAGGAAAAGCATAAGAGGAGGCAATGAGAGCAATTTAGAGTACTAGATGCAACCAAAGACCTAAAAGGTAAACCTGAGATATACCCTAAATATGTGTACTACTGTAACCTCATTGATGTTGTTAGGATCTCTTGTGTCGCTTCAACATACAATGTTGTTCGCCATCCCTCAAAGGACTAACACACATAAATATTCTAAGAGACTACAATCATCAAGTATAAGCTAGTCTTTATAAAAAGTAATGTTCACGGGCTGGGTAGGGTGGCTCACGCCTGTAATCCCAGCACTTTGGGAGGCCAAGGTGGGTGAATCACGAGATCAGGAGTTTGAGACCAGCCTGGTCAACATGGTGAAACCCCGTCTCTACTAAAAATACAAAAATTAGCCGGGTGTGGTGGCACGCACCTATAATCCCAGCTACTCGGGAGGCTGAGGCAGGAGAATTGCTTGAACTCAGGAGGCAGAGGTTGCAGTGAGCCAAGATCGTGCCACTGCACTCCAGCCTGGGCGACTAAGCAAGACTTCATCTCAAAAAGAAAAAAAAAAGTAATGTTCACTCAAAACCAAGTTCATAAAGCACCTTCACATATAACATTTCATTGACCATTCACTATCCCCATTCATCTACCAGTTTGAGGGCAATCGTTATCCTCATTTTACAGATGAGTAGTGAAGGGGCTTACCTAAATTCAAACACTTTGTGACTGGTGGAGCCTCCAACTCAAATCACATGACATCAAATCCCAAGCACTTTCCACACCACATTGCGCCTCCTCATTCCACATCAAAAAGTCACAAAACTATCCTGTCTGCCTAATCTGCACTGGTCTATTACCAATACTGTAAGAACAATTGTCTGTTATTAATGACACCATGTGTTACGAATACAAAAGAGAAACAAAACAAACTCAGTATTTTCTCTGACAGGCCTGGCACTCTGTTCAGCACCCAACCTATACCTTGACTAACATAGTTCTCACAAGCCCCTCAGGTAGGTGCTGATATTCCAACTGTATACCTCAGAAAACACATTCAGAGAGGCTTAGAAACTTGACTAAGGTCACAGAATAAACAAATGACACAGCGATGATGTTAGCCACACGTCTGCTATACCACACTGCCTAACACAGCATCACAGCGATGCCTTTTTCTGGTCATCAACAAGAAAAATCAAGTACTTTTTAGGTTAAAATATCTTAATGTGTCAAATAACCATTTCTCCACTTGTTGCTGTCATAATTTCACTTCCAAGCACAGCACCTTTTCTTCTTCCTGATTTTCTCTGGTTTACTCAATATCTGCTGGCCTCCCTGTGCCCTGGAACAGGGGATACTGTTGGAACAGAAAAGTGATGTATTATTAACTAATAGTACTTTACCCAGCCACAGGAATCATGCAAATATTATTTCTGCTCTGGGTCTAAGTTAATTCTGTCAAGTAGTATGTGTCAGTTACCAGAAATGTGAGCCTGCCCAAACAATTATGAAATGAAAACAATGAACAATCAATCATTTTAATCACAGCTCTCTAAGGGCTTTCCAATCCAGACAAGACACAAGAACAACAAAATGCATAAAAGTAATCTCATTACCATCCCAGAGTCTGGCATCCCACCACATTACAACATTGGGGATACATAGCATTAGCCTCAGAATACTGTGCTCCTCCCGCTTAGGTGTTGACTGTTAATGAGAGACAAAGATAGATAAGAAAAAAAAATATAAACATGACACTAGTTTTAAACTTGGGAAAATTATCGAAGGACTTCCCAGAACAAAATGTAATTAGCTTTAACAAGTTAAGGTATATTAGGACTCCCAAAGGGGGCTTCCTTATCTGAAGCAAACAGGAGGAACTTTCTGTTAACACAGCTGTATACTCATAATGGAAGGTAAATAGCTAAAAAGGCTTTAAACAAAAACTCTATATCCAAGGAACAAAACAGGAAAAGCTAGGTGTATCTTAGTCAAACTGGAGGAGCGGTGGAATAGCCTGCTGATAGGATTAAGAACAGGAACAGGAGTGGATAAAGAGGAAACAGGAAGAACTGAGCTAGAGGGAGTATGAGGGGAAGGAGGAGGAGCACGGGGCAAAGAAGGCTGGAACCCAGGAAGTACTGATGGAGATGGGCACCACAAGCCTAGAAAAGTAAGGAAATAAATACCCAGAATCGAAAGGTCTGCCAGAGCCTCCCTTGTGGAAAGGACTCTCCTCTTTTACAAGCTAAAATTAAGATAAAGGAAATGACCTGGCCAAGACTAGAGAAAATAGAGTTCATTTAAGATATAGGGGAGCGTCCTGCCCAAGGATAAAAGGAGTAATAACTGGTAGCGAATGGAGGGAACTTTTTAGTGCTTTTCAAAATGTAACTTCAAATAGATAAATTATATGGCAGGGAAATTATCTCAATAAATTTGTTATTTTTTAAAAAGTTTGAGCTAGGCATGGTGGCTCACGCTTGTAATCTCAGCACTTTATGGGGTGAGACAGGAGAATTACTTGAGGCCAAGAGTTCAAGACTAGCCTGGGCAACATAGGGAGACTCCACCTTTACAAAAAAAAAAATTTAAAAATTAGCCGGGCATGATGGCACCTGCCTGTAGTCCCAGCTACTTGGGAGGCTGAGGTGGGAGGTTAGCTTGAGCCTGGAAGGTCAAGGCTGCAGTAAGCAGTGATAGCCTACTGCACCCCAGCCTGGGCAACAGAGTGAGACCCTGTCTCAAATAAATACATAAATAAAGGCGTGTCAAGCTGGGCAACCTGTGACTACTCACAATTCCGTTAACATGATTAGTTCAGTTGTCTCCAAAAGAGTACCCCCAAATTCCCTCACTCAGTAGGTAAAGTTTACTTATGTCTGGGAACTTCTCTGTTGGAATACATCAGGAGTTTTATGAATACATAAAAAACAGTAGCGGGGAAACTGGGAGCTAGGTCTTTAAAGAAGAAGTCTTCCCTCACTTTTGCTCTTGAAATTTATTTGATAAAATTTTACATAGTGGTGTGGGAAGCTTTCGTCTGAAAGACCAGATTTCTTCAGCAGATGATCTAGGGCCAAAATCTACCTAGTCAAAGAGAAAACGATCTGGGGTACAAAAGTCACGTCAGTTCTGGACAGACCCCAGAACGTTTATCATAAAATGATCACAGAAGATCTTTCTCTTTGCTACCCCCAAATTGGACTGTACGCCCCGTGTCACTTCAGACGGTTACTCGCAAAGACGGATGCTTTGCCATGATCCCAGAAGTTTCTGGCGAGCTGCTGACATAAATTAGAAAGCCACTCGGGGACCGACCTGGGTGAAGCTAAGCGCCACGTCCAGGGCTGGGCTCCCCCTTCATCCCTCCCAATGTAGGAAAAGGGACAGAAGAGGGCAGCAGCCAAGCAGGAACGCCCAGTCAGTCGTCTTCACCCCCTCCCCTGAGCCAGGTTTCGGGGAGCCGCCCCCTAGCCCTCACGTAGGCCCATTCCCACCCGCCCCTGCCCTGGGCCCGCGACCCCAGGGAGGAGGGGACAACGGCGGCGAGCGCCCCCACCGGCAGCAGGCGCACCTCCCCGGGGGCAGCTGTCGCCGCGGCCCGCGGGGCCCGGGCCTCCCCGGGAGCAATAGGCTATCGATTCAGCTGCCTGTCGCTAGGAGCCCCGGGAGAGCGAGGCCTACACCGCCCGGCCGGAGCCCCGGCCTCGATTTCGCCACTTTCCCCAAACCAGAGGGAGAGCCCGGGGGCAACCAGGCCGGTCTGGGCGACAGGGAGGAGAAGCAGAGACCACTTGCAACAGCGGCCGCGGGAAACAGGGTGCGGGGTGCCGGGCTCCCGCCAACAAGTCTCCCGGGGACCCCCCCTACCCCCTGCCTCACAAGTTGCGCATTCAAGTTCAGGCTGGTGCCCTTTAGCCTCCACAGCCCTCGCCACTCTCCAAACCGTATTAAAAACAAGACGCAGAAGAGGCCACAACCGAACGAAAGGCGATGGTGCTGGGCTCCTAAGAGTGCCAAGGGGGGCGGCCCACCGCGGCCCTACCGTCGCCAGTCACCTCCCCTCTGCAGACCCCGCCAGCCCCCGGGTCGCAGCCCCCGGCCCCTCGGCGTCCGGGTCTGTCACCGCCCGCTTTCCAGCCCCAAGACCCCTTTTCCTTGACGCCGGCGACGGGAGCTGCAGCTCCCCCTTGCCTCCGGCGCTCCTCGGCCTCCTCCCCCTCCACATCCCCAAAATGCCCCCAGCACCTTTTAAAGTACGCGGAGGAAGAGTTTGCCGTCAAACTTTGTCGAGCGGTAACCTCGCCCCCCTCCCCGACCCACACTTTCGGGGCAGGCATCAGAAGAGATCACTTTGCACTTGGGATAAAGCGAATTAAGGAGCTGTCAACCATTTTAGGTCTTTTTTATAGAAGACATCCTCTCCTTCCCCTCCCCCTGCAATGGTTTTAATTTGACACCAAACCTTCCTACCGCAGAAGGGGGTTGAGAAAGGGAGGGGGTGGGGACAGAGGGCAGGAGGAGGGTGACGGGGGAGAGCGAGAGGGGGAGGCTGGGAGGGTGCGGGGAGGGGAAGGGGGTTGATTTACCTGAGACCAGCCACTGGCCTCCATTGTTGGAGAATTCAATGGCATTGACACAGCCGAAGTGGCCGAGGAGGTCCTTCTTGTAGAGGTTTCTGCAGCCCCGCAGGCGTCTCCTCTGAAAGTCCTGAGTGAGCAGGGGGTCCCCATGCAAGCCCCGCTGGGACAAGAAGCCCACCACTGACCTCATGCTGCCCCCCAGGCCAGTTCTCCTCTTCATGCTGGAACCGCCGCCGCCGCCGCTCGCGCCGCCGCCCCTCCCTCGGCCTCACGCGCGGCCGCCGCTCCCCCCACCCGGCCCTCCCCCCGCGCTGCGATCCGGATGGTTCTTTAACCAGCCATGGCAGGCAGAACGAGGTGTGCAGACACTCGGCGGCGTTCGCGGCTTCCTGACGGTCCCCTCCCTCTCCTTCCCCCCGAGGCTCCTCCCTCTGCTTCTCCGCCTCCTCCAGCAGCTGATCTTCAGCTGCTGCCGCGCTTCCGCGATGCGCGGCCCTTCCGCCGGCCGCGGGGCCCCGAGAACGCGGCGTTGGCGCCCCTCCCCCTTGCGGGGGGCTGGCCGGAAGAACGCGGGCTGCCGGCCGGGAGACCACGGGCCCCTGCTGCTTTCGCCGTTGAGCCGCTTCCCACGCGGGGATCCGGGTGGCGCCGGGCAGAGACACCGCTGCACCCCAGCGCCTCGCACTCCGCGGAGTTGAATGCGCGTAACAATCCGGGTGGCCGCTGGGCTTCGGCTCGCCCTCCTCCCGCGGGAATCCGCGGGCCGGCGGCTGCCCGGAGGCCAGCGCCCGTGCGAGTTCGGGGCAAATGCGGCTGGAGTGGGGGAAGGTGCGAATGGGGGCTCCGGTCCTCCTTCCTCTGCTGGCCTCTGCCTTGGGCAGTCCGGCCCTGCCCGAGGCGGGGGAACCGGGAGTTAGGGCTGCACACTTGGAGGAAGGTTGCCAGGGGGTTTTGTTCGCGCACCCGGCCCTTCCCCTGTCCCGGTAAATGTTTAACACCACCGCTCCTCCCCAAGTCCAGTTCTCTAACTCTCTCTTCCTCCGGTCCTTCAGTAGAAAAAGGCTAAATTGTTCCGTCTGGCAGATTAAATAGAGTGGTACATGGGGGGAAAGAGAAAGGGATCAAGAAGTGGGAAGAAAATTGCCAAAACCGAGTTGTTGAAGTCCCGAGAAGCACGAGGTACTTCTCTCCGTTCCAGATAAATTTGCAGGACACAAGAAGCGTGATTTGAAACTAACGATATATGTTATTTAATTGGGTGCGGTGAGCTCCTCTTAAAGGTCTCGAGTCGGGAGCGCTGAGGTTGGACAGCTGTTAACCAGCAGCTGCGCTCCAGGCCAGAAGTGGCTGCACTTCAGTAGGATGGGAGTCACCGCGTTGACCCTAGTGGGTGTTAAGTGCTTTGGAATTCTACCAGATACAGTTAAAAGTCCCCTTTTCGATGTATTATAGTACTTTTCCTGGAAGCTATCCTCTGTCATTAAGTGGTAATAAGCTACTGAAATAGGCACTTGTCAGTTTTGCCCTTTCAAGTTAGCAGGAATTACATCCTCTGGACCAGAGGTGGCACAGGAGCAGTTGAGTAGAATCATCATTGAACGATGGGCTGTACATCTCTGATCTGGGGAAGATGATGATAATTTTTTTTTAAAAAAAAGGATTGGCTGAACATGGAAGAGGTTTACCCGTCAAGCAAAATTAACTTCTACTTTTTGTTCAGTGACAATAAGATTAATCGTACTAATAACAAATATGCAAGTGTTTCATATAAAAGTACATATTCTAGCAAGCATTACTAAACAGAAACCAAATTCCATCAGAATTTGTGGAAAAGGGCAAAAAAAATTTTTAAAGAAAAATCAAATTCCTAAAATGTGAATTTTAACGGAATATTGTTCCCCTAAATAGGAAACTATGTGGGATGCCTTCTAATAATCCTTTATGTTTATTCATTATAATAACCACCTGAAAATTAGTAGCAGTATACCAGCTTTGTTAAAGATGTATAGCACCAAACATCCTTTTGTCATAGAAATGTCAAAATGTGTAATTAATCATTTATTTTTGTGACGATGTGAGTCTGCCCCACTCTGCTATAAGTTCTCCGGGAGCAGGGACTACGTCTGCTCAAGGGTGTATGCCTGGAGCTTGCTGGCACTAGTGGCCACTTTAATACTTGCTGAATTCATGAATGAACTTAGGGAGTGGGAAAGAGTTTGGAGGGAAAGGTCATGCTTTCGGGTTTGGATATGTTGAGTTTGACTTGTTTCATTCCAGTGGGATCCACTCGTTCCAAGGCCAGTTTCCCTGCTCACTGTTCCTTTGCTTGGCATCCTCAGTCCACACATTCAAAACCCTCTCTGACTTCTTCCAGTTAATAGGCCATCATTTATACCTACACTAGTTGCCTGGGGTGGGGGAGATTTGTTTGAAGTGGCCTTTACTGTGGCAGTATATAATACGTACCCTCCTCTGCCTTCTTAAGCACATACCCCCTTCTCTACAGTTTTTACTGAATTCCTGGAAAAATTGTCCCATTTACCTCAGCATAAAAATAGACCAGTGTTTGGTCACATGCCAGCCCAAATCTAGGACTTTGCTGGAAACTTCCTTAACTGTTGGGTGACCAACCGTGACAGAAAGGTAGGACCACCTAGTCTGTTTATATCCTACTGCTAGTCTGGCCAGCTTTTTATAAGCCTGAGTGAAATATCTTCCTGTTCCTATAATTAGAGTTGTCGGATAAAATGGAGGATACCCAATTTGGTGTGAATTTCAGATAAACAATGAATGTTTAAGTATACCCCATGAAATATTTGAGATATACTAATTATTGTTTATTTGAAACTCGAATTGGGCATCCTGAATTTTTTATTTGCTCAATCTGGCCACCTACTTATAACCAACTTCAAAAGATGAAACTCCATGATATCAATTTGCTTTTATTAAGAATTTAACATAGTCCCTTATGTCATTTATTGCAAACTAATAATATTGTACATAACTACATACCACAAACTTTTTTTTCCACCACACCTGTAACAAAACTGCAATACCACAAACATTTAATCATCTTTGATGACCACATGAGCTTTTTCTTTTTCATATAGGCATTTATTGTGAAAAGGCCAGCGTACTTAGCTTTAAAATAGCAAATGAAATTACTTCTGAGTAAATTGAACCACTGCAGAGAATGTGTGAAGGAAGAGGGAGAAGAGTGAAAAACTCATAATTTTCTTACCTAAACCCAGAAATTTATGTGTATTAATGTTCATGCTCAGGAAGCCTTGAAACACTGATTTGGAAATTCATTCTGGAAAAACAAAGATATGGAAATTGCTTAACCCAAGAACTCTTAATTGCTTCACCATGGGTTGAATACTGGTCAAATGTAGAATTCCCAGAAATGTATTTACTCTTTGACTTCTATTTTGTTTGACTCCAATATTGCTGAAGAAAGAGTAAGGAATCTTTAAAAACTGATTGAATGCTAAGGAAATGCTCAAACATTAGAAACTGTGTTTTTAATATTTATTTAGAAACAGGGTGTGGCTCTGTCACCCAGGCTGGAGTGCAGTGGTATGATCTTTGCTCAGTGCAGCCTTGACCTCCCAGGCTCCAGTGATTCTCCTACCTCAGCCTCCTGAGTAGCTGGAACTACAGGCTCACACCGCCACACTCAGCTAATTTCTGTATTTTTTGTAGCTGGGGTTTCTCCATGTTGCCCAGGCTGCTCTCAAACTCCTGGGCTCAAATGATCCTCCAGCCTTCACTTACCAAAGTACGGGGATTATAGGCATGAGCCACCTAGCCTGGCTGTTTTTTTGTTTGTTTTGTTTTTTTTAACTGAGAAAATACTAAGCCCTTCTGAAACTTTTATTAAATCTTAGCATATTAAGTACTACATATGGACACTAATATGCTCAGAAATTTTTTATTCAAAATATTTTCAACTTTAAAATAACTATTCATAATACGAGATGTTAATTCATGCAGAGATCAATGCCTCAAATATACATATAATTTAACTGTAACATTTATTTTTAACTTTTTAAAGACACAGTCTCTCTGTTGCCTAGACTGGAGTACAGTGGTGCAATCATAGCTCACAGCAGCATGGAACTCCTGGACTCAAGTGATCCTCCCACCTCAGCCTCCTGAGTAGTTGGGACTACACGTTTATGCCACCATGCCTGGCTAATTTTTTAAAAAATGTTTTACCATTTTGTCGCCCAGGCTGATCTTGAACTCCTGGCTTCAAGCTATCCTCCTTGTCCTCCCAAAGTGCTGTGACTACAGGCATGAGCCACCTCGGCCTGCCAACATTTAAATTTTAAAAGGTAAATTATTTATTGATCATCTCAAATAGACAACGGTCACTTTTAATGTTGGGTAGAAAAGAAACTGATGTACTTAAATTCGTATTCTTCCAACAAGATCCATAGGACATATATCTTTTTATTTTTTAATAACTTTATTGAGATACAATTGACATATCATAAAATTCATGCTTTTAAAGTGTACAATTCAGTGGTTGTTAATGTATGCACAAAGTGGTATAACCATGACCATCTAATTGCAGAACATTTCACCGCTCCAAAAAAGAAACCCCATATACATTAGTAGTCGCTCACCATTCCTCCCTGCCCTCAGCTGCTGACAACCTCTAATCTAATTGCTATCTTGATGGATTTGCCTATTCTGCTTTTCTTTTTTTTTTGGGGGGGGGACAGAGTCTGGCTCTGTAGCCCAGGCTGGAGTGCAGTGGCATGCTCTCAGCTCAGTGCAACCTCCACCTCCCAGGTTCAAGCAATTCTCCTGCCTCAGCCTCCCCAGTAGCTGGGATTACAGGCATGCACTGACACCCAGCTGATTTTTTTATATTTTTGGTAGAAATGGGGTTTCACCACATTGGTTAGGGTGGTCTCAAACTCCTGACCTCAAGTGATCTACTTGCCTCAGCCTCCCAAAGTGCTGGGATTACAGGCATGGGCCACCACGCCTGGCATATTCTGCATATTTCATAGGAGTGAAATCATACAATATATGTGGTCTTTGTATCTGGCTTCTTTCACTTAGCATAATATTTTCTTTTTTTTTTTTTGAGACGGAGTCTCGCTCTGTAGCCTGGGCTGGAGTGCAGTGGCCGGATCTCAGCCCACTGCAAGCTCCGCCTCCCAGGTTTACGCCATTCTCCTGCCTCAGCCTCCTGAGTAGCTGAGACTACAGGTGCCTGCCACCTCGCCCAGCTAGTTTTTTTTTCTTTTTTTGTATTTTTTAGTAGAGACGGGGTTTCACCATGTTAGCCAGGATGGTCTCGATCTCCTGACCTCGTGATCCGCCCATCTTGGCCTCCCAAAGTGCTGGGATTACAGGTTTGAGCCACTGCGCCCAGCCTGCATAATATTTTCAAGGTACTCCATTATTTTTTTACACCAAATAGTATTCCACTATATGGATATACCACATTTTGTTTTATCTGTTCATTAGTTGATGGGCTTTTGGGCTGCTTCCAATTTTTGGCTATTATGAATAATAATACAACTATTAACGTGTGTACAACTTTTTTGTGGTCATATGTTTTTATTTCTCTTGGGTATTTTATGTAGTAGGACAATTTTGGGGTTATATGGTAACTTTATGTTTAACTTTGTGAGGAAGTGC